GAGGCCTTACGCTCCCACGACCTCCCCGGTCGGTCGCCACTCGGCCCCACCCCTCGGCCTACCGCCGGCCGCGCAGCCGGTTTGGACACTCAGACCCGCTCCAGGGAGGCCAGGCCCTATGGTGGGCGCAGAGGGATTCCAGAGCCCAGCGGCCGGACTCCTCCTCCCACACCACCCGGGGAGGTGGGCAGCACGCCTTTCAGAATGAAGGGAGATAAGGGAGGAGGGAGGGAGGGAGAGGGGCCGTGGGAGGTTCAAAGGGAGGGAGGAAAAGAAAGCAGGAAAAAGAAGGATGCTAAAATGGGGTGAGGCCAGGAAAATCCTATCTAGTAAAGAGGGAATATACAAATTTACAGTCACAAAGATGGAGGCGCCCAGTCCCCTCAGCCCCACTGGAGTCCCCCAGTCCTTTCTCCACCTGGGGGCGGGGGGGAGATGGCAGGTACGCAGTGTGGCTGGACCTACCTTCAGCCCCCCAGCCACCCAGGGCCAGCCCGAGGCGCAGGCAGAACTTGAATGTCTGCTGCCCAGCTTCCTAGGGCCGACCTGAGGTGCAGGCAGCCTCAGATGTCAGCTGCCCAGCCACCCAGGGTGGGCCCAAGGCACAGGCAAGCCTCGGATGGCGGCCTCCCAGCCTAGGGCAGCCCGAGGTTCAGGTAACCAGGGCCAGCCGAGGCTTGCACTGCTGGCAGTGGCAGCAGCAGAGATGTGATGGGAGCATTGCCTTCCCCTGATTGCCAGGTCACCTCCCGCCCTGAGGGCTCCCAGACTGTGAGACGGGGCAGGCTGGGCTGAGGGACCCCCCTTCTAGTGCATGAATTTTCATGCACCGGGCCTCTAGTCTATACTAATAAAAGGGTAATATGCTAATTAGACTGGATGTCTTCCAGATGTCCTTCCTGACAAAGCTAGAGGCTTGGCCAACCTGTGAAAATTGCCCCCAGGCCCCTTGCCCAGGAAGGCCCTGCCCCCAGCAGAGACCACCCACCCCGATGGGGGCATGGCCAGCCTACAAACAGCCCTCAGCCCCTCACCCAGGCCTGCCACACCCCCTAGTGGAGACCCTCACCCTGATGGGGGCATGGCCAACCTGTAAACCGCTCCAGGCCCCCGCCTATGCTGGCACCGCCCCCAGCGGGGACCCCCACCCCAATGGAGCTGTGGCCGGCCTGCTAACCTTGAGGGGCCCCTCGTCTAGGCTGGCTAGCCCTGTCCCCCAGTGGAGACCCTCACCCTGATTGGGGCAGCTGGCTTGTAAACTGCCCCAGGCCCCTCACCCAGGCTGGTACCATCCCCCAGCGGGGACCCCCACCCTGATCGGGGGTGTGGCCAGCCTTCAAACCATCCCAGGCCCCTTGTCCAGGCCGGCCCTACCCCCAAGGGGACCCCCACCCCAATCCGGGACCCCCTTCAGGGCAAACCAGCCGGCCCCCACCTGTGCACCAGGCCTCTATACTAATAAAAGGGTAAGCTGCTAATTAGACTGAACGTACTTTCAGACAAAGCCATGAAGCAGAGGTGGTTAAGGGTGATCAGGCTGGCAGGGGAGAGCAGCTAGGGGAATCAGGCCAGCAGGGGAGAGCAGTTAGGGGCATTAGGCAGGCAGGGCGAGGGGGGTAGGGGCGGGGGAGATAAGGCCGGCAGGGGAGAGCAGTTAGGGGGATCAGGCCGGCAGCCAGGCGAGCAGTTTAGGAGATTGCAAGAGGGATCCCAGATTGGAGAGGGTGCAGGCTGGGCTGAGGGACCCGCCCCCATGCACAAATTTCATGCACTGGGCCTGCAGTCTATATAAAAGAGAAACATGCAAATTAACCGTCCCTCCTTGATGTCCACAAGCCAATGAGGAGTGACTATGCGAATTAACCCGACAAAGATGGTGGGTTAATTTGCATACACAGGCACCGGGCAGCCGGGGGTGGGGCAGGTACTTCCCCCGCATTGCCATGGCGATGCTGGGGAAGTTCCAGCCCCACGGCCGCTTGCGTGCACACGGCACCGGGGAGCCGGGAGTGGGGCAGCACATGTGGACGCTGGGGAGCCAGGGGCGGGGCAGGAGCTTCCCCCATATCACCATGTCGACACAGAGGAAGCTCCCACCTGGCTGGCATGTGCGAGCAGGTGCCGGGGAGACGGAGTCGGGGCAGAAGCTTGAGTGTGCACAGTAGCTGGAGGCGGGGCGGTGCATGCGGGCACTGGGGAGCCGGTGTCGGGGTGGTGCGTGCAGACACCAGGGAAGCTTCCGCCCAGCTGGCACTTGCAGGCAGGTGCCAGGGTTGGGGCGGCGCAGACACCAGAGGTGGAGCAGAAACTTCCCCCGTGGAAGTTCCCGCCCTGTGGCCACTTGCGCGTGTGCGGGAGCCGGGGTCAGGGTGGTGCGTGGACGCCAGGGAAGCTCCCACCTGGCTGGCGTGCGCACGCAGGTGCCAGGGA